ATCCCTTTGTCACCCCTCCTTTCTCAGCCTGGCACATATGATTAGTGAATGAAGTGAAGGCAGACCAGGTTGCCCTGCACCTCATCTGCATATATATTTTTGAAAGATCCTAGGATCTGTGACAAGAGCATCCAATTCCAGTCATGAGTATGGGGATAATTAGCACATGGCTCCTTTGTGGGGGTATCTGAAGTATACGCATATACTGAGCAGTGCTAGGCTGTGGTTACCATACTGACTTTGCTGGGGCCCAGCCTAGTGAACTCTATGGTAAATCATGAGCCTGTTGGCTTTGGACTAAATATCATGAATAGTTTGTACTGTGTACAAGTAGGTGCCAAAATGCTGCTCAAACAAGTGTTTATAGAGTACTTGTGGTAAAACTTGCAGCAGTTTCAAAAGAGAGAACATTCATCAATTCTAGATGAACTAAGTCTATGAGTACTATATGCAAATAGATACAGCCATGTTTAATTTCAAAGTTATATAAATTTACTCTTCACTTGCATGTGGTTAGGGAGAGCAGGATCTTACAGTAAGGAGAGGGGGGAGGGCCTGCCAGGGGAAAAAGTTGGGGGGTGGGATTATAAAAACATTTATACATTTTCCATATACAGAATCTAATTATTGGAGGGTCATCTTATATTCAGGTTCCTCTTCTATTTGAGCAAATACAGATTAAGTCCCTGGCTTAATAACATACCAACCATGCTCCTTGCTTCTAACCCGCAAAATATCCCCCACCATGTTCACTGACTACCTCCCCAACCCATTCAAACCCTTTCTACCATTTGTCTTCCAAATCCCCTGGTCATGCATTAGTGGAGGTGCCAGAGCAGATTCCCTTCACTTTTGAGAGACAATTTACTTAAGTCTTTAATAGTAATTTTACTCGGCAGACGAACTGAATCAGTGTACTACTGCATTCCCATAGTGTCCAAAATAGGTCCTACACAGTCACCTTGTATTTTACTTTTACTTGACAACTGATTCATTAGTGTTGGTTATAAATGTTGGAAACGTCAAAGAAAAAATTACAAAAGAGACACCATTGGATTGGCAAAGCAAATGAGTACTAACCCTCTGCACAAAACAAGTGTTATCATAATTGCATTAAATAAGGTTTCCTGACAGAGGTCCTAAATGTCCTTTAAATAGGGCAATTTAAATAAGGAAGCTGGATGGAAGGTGTCATACTTATAACCTCAAGGGTAAGAGCAGAAATTTACAACTATGTCTGCCCTCAAATAAATCTAACAGGCTCCCCCAAAAAGAACTTCTGCCAAAATGAAGATCAGAATTTGGCCCTATATTACATATTTTTTTTCTAATGTACTCATTAGCTTTACTAGATAGCTGGAACAAGCCTTTAGCTCTAGGCTCTGTGTATGGGGATTTAACAAATTTGTTCTACAGTATTTTACTAGTCAGCTTTTCTAAGAAAAATATAAATACACAGCTCATTTTTCAGCCAATAAACTTCACAAGTGAAGAATTAAGATAGGTATGTATACTAAATGCTTGTCATAGTAGAGAAATTACCAAATAAGAGTTAAACACCTCAACTTTATTCCCATGAGACAAGCACTCTTATTTTACAAAAGGAAAAAATAAAGCAGAGGTGAACTGATGTTACATAGCAAATAACTGTGCTTGGAATAGAAATTGGAGTGCCCAATTTTTGTCTACCTTTCTCCCCAACCTTTCTCCAAACTACTAAAAGCACACCGTCTCTCAGCCAGTTAAAGTGATGCTATTCAACTGCATTTCTCTTTTTCTAAAGCTATGTCTGATAATGTCTCTTTGCTCCACAGTTTAAAGCATCTTTACATGATTTTCTTTACGCATAGTGTTAAACACAAGCCATTGCTTTACCTGCTTCTTTTCCACGCCTGAAGAAGGGCTCTTCATGCCTAAAAGCTTATCTAACATCTCCCTCAACTACGCAGTTGGACCAGTAAGAAATATTACCAAAGAAACTTTGCTTTTTTGCACATTCCTTAGACCATCTCAGATGTAACACTGCTACTCCACTGCCACCATGTATGTAAGGCTAAATAAATTAGCTTGGAATGACATTATTTAAAAAATTTAAAAACCTTAAGGACTTTAACAACATATACAGTTTCAAGCGATCCCTGCTCATAAGCAGATCTGTCAGAGCACGTGTACTGCTTTAAACACAAGATAAATGCACACACACTCAATATGTGTGTTGCATTTATAACTGTAGTAAATCCATCTAAAAAAACAACTTCTTGATATAACAAGCATTTTGAACCTTAGATATTCAAGAAGACAATTGCATGGACAATACCATTTTTTTGTTCTCAAGAAGGAAGAGATTTTTTTCCCCACCGCTTTTCTTAAAGAGGTCAAGGGCCTGTGTGCCTCTGATATTACAATGTCTATTCATCCAAGGCAATTTTAGATGCCAAGAAGCCACTGAAGCTGCTGGTTATCTTAATATGTCCCACCATCATCCTTTAAACGCGTCTGACATCTTAAAGGTACTCTTGGCAACAACAACAACAAAAATGCATCCGCAGCCATCCACTTCAGCTCTATCCCTCCCTGAAAGTGGGAATTATTTGAAAAAGTTTTTGTGAATGCTGACCAAGAAAAATAAAATGAACATGTAGAGCCTACACTATGCATTTTATTTGACTGAATTATAAGATTCTTAGGTAGTATACATTTGATTTAGTCAGGGGTGTCAACTTCATCTCCTACCCTGGACCAGAACCAGACCACAGGGCTCCTTGGGGGCTGGATCTAGAGCAGGGAATGGGTGGCTTTGGCAGTGATGGCTCCAGCTCCCACCATGTAATGCATGCCCCATGCCTGAGCCAGAGCTGCTGCCATCAGCCCATTTCAAGCTGGGGCGATGGCTCTGGCACAGAGCACACAGCAGAGATGGCTCCAGGTCCAGCACAGGGCATGCATCAGCAGGGCTGGTGCCCAAGGAGCCGAGGTGGCCACTGTGGCATTGGGCAAGGTGGCTGAAAGGCAATTGGGGCTGTTAGCCCTTACTCATCCTTCTGTCCTGACTGCCTTGTCTACTGTAGTCCATGGACCCCAGATTCTGTGGTAGGCCACATCTCCCAGCCATAACCCCTTACTTCCAGTGACCTGCCAGTAGCCCAGAGAGCCAGAAACAGTGGCTCCATGGGCCAGATCTGACCCACAGGCTGTATGTTTGACAAGTCTGATTTAGTTCACGCCAAATGCTACTTAAAATACCTTTATGGCATCTTTAAAACTGAATAGTTAGCCAAAAAAAGTTTTCATAGAATTGGGGTTTTTTGTGGTTATTATCTACAATTAAGTAGCGCAGTCTCAAGAGACAGCATATGCTTTGTTACAGTCTGAACTAGACAGTTAAGTTACAATTTACCAGTTAGCTGCTTGTAGCATTAATTTTCAATCTCCCAAAGAAGGGAAGATGTCATCAATTGCTTTGCAATTACCATGAAATTAGAGACTATCATCATTATGAGCTGCCACAGTGAAAATATTTGTTTACTATGGATTTGTCCCAGGTTGTTTCGGAAATCCTATTACTCAGGACTTAGGCACAGCAGGAGGTTCTATAATATAAATCTACAGTCACAGCCAAAAGGTTTGCATGGCTGGCAGAAGTGACAAAGGAACTTTCCATGCAAAACATGAGAAGCAACTGGAGTAGCAAAAGGCCTCTTCCTGCAATCAATATCGTGCTTCTCTAGTAACGTTTCTTCAGCAGCTGTTTCTCAGCCGCAGCGCAGACATACCTCAGCTAGCTTTAAACTAGCTAGCTCATGCCTCAGCAACAATCCAGCCACCACGGCACAGAAGGTAGTGTGGGTTAACTGCTCAGTACTTATCCTGCTTTACAGGCAGGTTTTGCAGCTGCACAAGGCATTGTACTGCCATGGCTAAACTAATGCCAGGTCCCATGGCACTGAACTGAACGCCAGTTTAGCTATTTCCAGACTAAACTGAATCACAGCCGCACAGCCATACTTTCCTTTCTCCCATTTTATCCTGAACGTGCCCCAATATCCTCTTGTTTTTGAGAAAACTCAATTATTTTAACAGCATCTACAATAACAGCAGCAACCCAGTTCATTAGATGCATCTCAATAAATGTGAAGTTTCAGCTGTTTTGGACAGCACTATCTTCTTCGTTATACAAAATTGATCCATTTTCTTCTATCAGCCTTATCCTAGAAGTAATGCTCTAATATTATTCTACCACCTCTTATTCACCAAGCACACAAATATTGAACTCAGTTACTCAATACAGGATAAGTCTGATATTCTGTAGTACAGCTCTTAACCTGCCAGATACAACAGAAGAAGTCTTTTCCAGATCCATAAAATCATTCAAATCTACAATCCACATTGGCCTAACACATGAAGGCACAACTCTGTCTGGCAGCACAGGAAAGACCAGTCTTGTAAAGTGTTAGCTTCTATATCAGAGAAAAAACAAATATTTTCAAAAAGAAGGTGATATCGTGAGTTCAGTCTGCTACAACCTTTTGTGCAAATGGTATTTTTACTCTAAGAACACTGATTCATTAAATGGATGAGACCCAGAAAGAGTCAACGCTGCCATTATGTAGCTTGCTTTAATTTACTATAAAGATGAAGGCTCAATGTCTTCCATAGTTATCAGATTTGTAGAAGTCTGATACGGGGGGAAAAAAACCCAAAAGCTCCCTAAAAGTTGATACAAACTCAGAAATATTTGTCAACAAGTATAAACCAGGCACACACACTCCAACTGTAAGCAAATATATTGGGTTTTCTAGCAAAAAGCATTCCCATCACATTTTCTGCATTTTCAGACTCATTTTTAACCACAGTTTAATGACTGCTACCAGTTGATCAAAAGAGTTGCCAGTGAAGACAGCTGACATTTCAGCATAGTAGAAAATTAACCAGTGAGCTAAGGAATTTAGATCCTATTCAGGATGGCAGAGAAGGTCACCCACTGAAAACTTGGTATATACCTCTTTTTGCTGCCTCTCAAGTTCTTTCATCCGAATTTCCCGCGCTTCAGCACGTGCTGCTCGTTTTGCTGCAAGCCTTGCTTCAGCCTGTGAAGAGAAAATAAACATAATTTAATAAATGCTGGGCAGTTTAAGGTGAAGCACACTTGCAAACCAGGGCATGAAGTAAGGAGATGGGATTCAGTTAGACTTTAAATGATAGGTAGGATTTCATTCACAAGTAATGATCCTGCCTTCCATAACTTGTTATGCTTCGTAGGCAGATAACATCCTTACACAGGCTACATATAGACTTTCAGTTTCTACTGGGAGAATTGCTGCCCTCCCAGTAGATGCCATAAGTATAAAAACAGTCAGCAATTCTCACAGAGCAAAAATGGCCACTCCAAGAAAAAACACACCTGGGAACAACCTGAGTTAAATGGGTCCCAAGAAGAAATTCTCCTGGGAAAGGAAACTTGTACATGTACTTTCTGAGGAAAGCAGCAGCATCCTAGTGTGTTTTGCTCTCCTCTCTCCCCAACCCCTGTTCAAAAGAGATGGCATGTCACTCTAGCTGGATTTTAGTGCTCCAACTGAGCAGGAAGCACCTTCACACTGTGATGCAGGAAAACACAGCCTGGAAGGTAGTCTAGGTCAGCACATCAGGGCTATTGCCATCTATCACCAAGCAGACTGGGGAGCCTGCAAAGCAAGCATAGGGGCAGCAGCCCAGCATCTGAACATCTGTTCAAGTAAATTTTTCCAGAAAAATATGATCTGGGAGAATTTTCCAAGGGGATTTAAACATGTGTATGGAACCACAATCATCTAGCTCTACTCATCAGATGCATTAAGGACATGAAGGAAAAACTTCTAAAAGGAAGCACTCTCTCATTTACATGTGCAGAGGAAACATTTGTATTAAGAGAGAGTTACAGGTCAATTTTAAAAACAGGAGTAACAAATTAAGAAAACTTGGAAGTAATAAAGATGTATATTATATACACAATTCATATATTTGCTTTTTCCAAGTCTGATACTGCACATGCCCATAAACAAAGCTAGGCATGATTTTGTGTGTAAATCCTGCAGACTGAAATTATTCAAGGGATTGGTAGAATCTAAGAAAATCCACTTAACATTTGTTAAAGTATCCAAATGTTCTGAATCCTATCCAAACCCCTCTGGTCTGCAAATCTGCCAAGAGCAGGCCTCTCATGAGATTTTTAGTACTTCCCCATTTCAGCAGTTGGAAATGCCAAAGAATATTCTAGGATGACATTTTAATATTCTGTTTATGATTCCAGACAGAAGTAGGAAGGCAAAAGTCACATTAAGAAAATAGATCTAAAATTAGCTTGACATTTTCAAAACCTCAGAGGTTCAGGTGTGGTTCTGTTCTGATATTTTCAGTGGCTTGCCCAGTCGCAATCAAAAGTAGCCCACAGTAGAGCAAGGCTGAATGATACACTAAACTTCATCACCAGGGATCTGCGTTTTCCATTTCCCCTGGAAAACAGAGAAAAACATCAATTTCTCCTTTTGCCAGAGGAAAATGCAGATTTTTTATTTTAGCAGAGAACCCATTGATTTTTCACTTTTGCAAAGAGCTCACTGCAGGCTGGCAGACTTCCAGCCTGCATGGGGCTGGGAGAGGAGGGTAGTCAGGCAGCGGGTGCCACGTGAATACACCCCCCCCCCCCCC